ATCAAGTCTGGGAATTAATCCCAAGAGAAGAGTCACATCAAGTAATTGGAACCAAATGGGTGTTTAGAAATAAGCTTGATGAAGATGGGAACATAACAAAGAATAAAACTAGACTTGTTGCCAAAGGCTATTGTTAGGAGGAAAGTATAGACTATGATGAAACTTATGCTCCTATTGCCAGAATTTGCTAAGATAATGCAGGGAGAGTTTGAAATGTCTATGATGGGGGAATTGATGTTCTTCCCTGGACTACAAATCAAGAAACTTAAAGATGGCATTTTCATCTCTCAAACCAAATACTGCAAAGAGATCCTTAAAAAGTTTGGAATGGACACCTCTAAGGAAGCTAACACACCCATGGGAACTTCATGCTATCTAGACAAGGATGAATCAGGTTTGGAAGTTAATCAATCTATGTATAGAGGTATGATAGGGTCACTATTATACTTAACTACAAGTAGACCTGATATTATGCATTCTGTATGTGTGTGTGTTAGATTTCAGGCTTGTCCAAAAGAATCTCACCTAATTGCAGTAAAACATATTCTAAAATATTTAAAAGGAACTAGTGGTTTTGGTTTATGGTATCCATCTGATGCGTGCACTAGTCTAATAGGATATTCTGATGCTGATTATGGTGGATGCAAAATTGATAGGAAAAGTACTAGTGGGACATGTCATTTGTTAGGTTCATCCTTAGTATCTTGGCATTCTAAGAAATAAGCTTGTGTTGCTTTATCTACCACTGAAGCTGAATATATTGCAGCTGGTAGTTGTTGTGCTCAAATTCTGTGGATGAAACAACAGTTAGAAGATTGTAGTATATTTTTAAATGGCATACCTTTAATGTGTGATAATACGAGTGCAATTAATCTTACTAAGAATCCAGTAATGCACTCTAGGACTAAGCACATAGAAATTAGGCATCACTTTTTGAGAGATCATATCGACGAAAGGAAAGCTGTAAAATAGAATACGTTGATACAAAGCATCAATTAGCGAGATATTTTTACTAAGCCTCTACCCAAAGATAGATTTTATGATCATAGAAGAGACTTAGGGATTTTAGAAATAGCTTAAATTCTGCTTATTGAGACAGTTTTTGGATGATTGTAATGTTAAAATTCATTATACAGGATGTTCATAGTTTATCATGTGCTAAAACCTCAAAAATATGATGTACTCTCTGGAATAATCAATTAATTGGAGTTATAATCGATTATTTGCATCCAAAACACTCAAAACAAGGCATTCCTCTCTGGATTAATCGATTAATTCGATAATTAATCGATTAAATACAGAATTAATCGATTATCCGCACAATATAATCGATTAAATGATTTCAGCACTTGGTTTAATCGATTAATCGAGTTTTAATCGATTAAACCTGGCAAGTTTGGCCTCCTAGCCGTTGCCAACGAATCTCTTGACCTATATTCACTTCCATATGACCATTAGACATGCTTGGTTATAAATAGGGGCCTCCATTTCACTTCTACTCACTTCTATCTCTTGAAATCAAGCTTTCTTGCATTATTCTAGCAATCTTGCCCTCTTCTCAATACATTTAGCTCTCTAAATCTTATTGTTATTCCTCAAATCTTTCAATGGCCTCATCTTCTCGTTCTAAGATCCCTACTAGAAGAAGATCTACACCCTCATCTCGTCCCCGTCCTAATTCTGTAGAAGGATGGATTTCTGATACAGATGGTCAACACGAATGTCTGACCTACTGGAAAGAACGTGCCATTATCTCTCCAAAGTTTCTTCTTGGTAAGCAATTCATCAATAGGGGATTCAACTTTCCCAACCTTCTTGAAATTCAAGGAGTTCTTCCCTTCATCCAAATGCAAGGTACGTTTTATCCTGACCTTGTTAGGGTATTTTACTCTAGATTTAAATTTAGAGATCAAATTGCTACCTCTAGAGTAAAAGGCGTCACAATTATTCTTGACGATGATATTTGGGAAAACGTCACTCACTTTCCAATTAGAGAACATGCTATTAACATTTATGGTGAGCTAGATGATTTTGACAGGTTCTTAGCTTACCGTTCTTTTCTACGAAATTCCTCCATGGAGATTGGGCGTCTCCTTCTTGCTGGACCTTTAAAGAAGGAGGAACGCATGATTCTACATCTAATTGTCTGGATCCTCTGTCCCCGGGCTACAAATCATGCTCAATGTTCTTCAATTGATCTTAGGATTATTCATGCCATAATGAATAATGAGCCCTTAGATTGGGGCGTTCTTGTCACCATGACAATGTTAAAAGCAAAACGCCATCCCACCTTCAAAATACCATATGCCCTCCTTGTCTCTCGGATTCTTGAATATAAGGGAGTCAATGTCGAAGGTGAACAAACAGTAAGAACAAATAACTTGAATCGCATGCTTGACAGCACATTGATCCAACTACAAATGGTGTGTGTCAACGACATTTATGTTCACAAGGATGACGTTCCGAATCAAGATAATGACAATGAAGATTCTGATGAAGATATGTCTCCTGCTGCTGAGTTTCCCTCAGAGCAAATCCAAAGTGTTGGAACTTCCTCTACTCAACATGAAACTCGACAATCCATGGAGGACATGTTATCTGACATGAATCAGAGGATGCAGTCATTCTTCACGCTTTCTGGAGTACGATATGAGGAAATAAGTCGCCGTATATCTGATGTAGATGATAAAGTGTGTCGTTTAGAAAATAGATTTGATGCATACTTTCATAGTGATGATAGTGAAGAATTTTAAAATTTGTAATTTTTCTCTTATATTGTAATGAATGTTTTTATCTGAAATAAAATGTGGTGTTCTGTTTTTGCTATGTTTGAAGGGGAGTTTTCTCTAAGTTATGCATATTTTGAGGGGGAGCTCTTATGTTTGTCATAGAAGAATTATTTTTTATTATAATCAAAATAGGGGGAGAAATATTTAAAGCCTAATATTATTGTTTTTAAATATTATCTGGTATGTTTAATGTGTTTGTTAGTATGACAGATAAAACAGGTTATTACAAGGCTTTAAAAGATAATTTTGATCATCATCAAAAAGGGGGAGATTGTTGAACATTCAAGGACTTGATGTTGCACTTGATGGACATGAAGATTATTGATTTTGATGATGATTCAAGAACTCAAAGACTTAGAGTGTTGAAGACTTGTTTTGTATTGTAATAACTCTATTTCAATTAGATTGAGTCTGTAATATTAGTGTTTAAGATAGCCGGTACATAGTCTGCACCTTAGAAGCTTCAAAAAGCTCAAATTTATCATCCAGGCTCGGCTTTAATCGATTAAATAGGGAAATAATCGATTAAAACAGTGAGAAAAACCATTTTCTGTATCTGCTCACTAGTTTAATCGATTAAAACTCCTGTTAATCAATTAACAGGCGGTTTAATCGATTAAAACCCCTTTTAATCGATTAAAATAGTGAGTTTCAAGGTTCTGTTGATTTTGGCTCTGTAATAATCGATTAATTCTTGATTTAATCGATTATTTCAGTCAGATTTCGAATTTTAACTTCAAATCAACCCTATTTTCGAAAACCCTTTTCCCAAGAACCCTAATTCTGAAATTCCCAAACCCTAATTTCTCTACTTAAGCTTCTCTATGGCACTCAGAAAAGTAGAACAACCTTTTTCATACAAAAATTAAGTGTTGTAGTGCCAGAGAACTTTTTGTTGCAAGAAAAAGGGGCTTTTGGAACCTGGTGTGAGCTAGAAGCGATAAGAATCACTAAGTGGAGTTCTTAGTGGATTGTGTGTTGTGCCATCTCTAGGGAAAGTTGTTCATCATCTCTTGTGGATTTCAAGAGAGGTGTTTTCTTATCTTTATCTTTTCAATTGTAATCTGTTTGTAACAACTTGATTATAGTGACAACATTAATCCTCTGTTTGAGTGATTAGCAATTGGACGTAGGATCTTTTGATCTGAACCAGTATAAATTTTCTGTGTAAGATTCTCTTCTCTTCTCTATTTACATTTACACAGTTTTTAATCGGTAAAATTTGGGGAAAATTTTGAAAACCTAATTTTTATTAAGAAACCAATTCACCCCCTCTTGGTTTTTGTCCGACCACGCGAACATTCTGCTGTGCGATTCTAATAGGATTTTATCAATCGTACAGTAGAAGGGCATGACAAGACTTCATGTCACATCTCACTTCCCTTCCAAATAAAATTTTTAAATCACGCACACCACGAATGAAATCCCTTCTAGCAAAACTAGCAATTAAGAGAACACAAATATCGACAAAGAAAGACAACCAAAACCGCCAAAGGCAACTTATTAACTTCTCTATCATCGAATAGCTCCCTCGAACTTTGGGGGCAGAATGTATTATATATACAAACGAGCCCATGCGGCGTTGTAGCCACATGGAATTGTAGCCACACAAATTGTAGTTGTGCAGACTACCTTTGCACCAACCGCGCAAGTTGCCTTTGCATTGTTGCCACGAGGCCAAAAAGCAAAAATGTCAAGTCTCCTCAAAGCCCATATAAGGCCCATAAGGTAGTATAAATAGGCGACACTTTCAAGGTAAGAGCACCAGCATTAACTCCCATAATCATTCACCCCACTAAATTGAGCATCAAAGTGTCTTTACAGGAACATCGTTTGCACACTTCAAGAAGACAACATAAACGAGAATGAGGACACAAACCTATATCGACATATCACCAGGATATGAAGGCAAGTCACTTTTCAGCCAGAGGTTCCCAACCTTAGAGGAACAAAAAGCAAAAGCTCTACGAACAATAGAAGGTCGAAACATGTAAACATGTAGACCATTATTTATATATCTTTCTTGAGACCTTTAAGAAAACAACTCAGTTCCTCGTACATTTAATATAGTGATAATGGAATCATATTTTCATAATAATTGCATAAGGAATTCTTTTGTCTTCATCTCATCAATTCCATCATAGGATAATCATGTATGTCATCAAATGTTCAACCAACCCTTTAAAGTAATCACTCCTATATACAACAAAGATGAAGCAAGGAAAGGTTTTGCAAGATCGGTTGGGCCATTATAAGTGTCAGCATCCAATCTCGTCCGGGTAAATATAAAAAATAGATAGATAACAACTTATTCGAAAAAAAGAGAAAAAATATTAAAATAAAAAAATAAAGAAATGTTTTCTTTTAAGCACTTAAAAATAAAAAAAATATATAAAAAAAGAAAAATATAATAATTTTCTTTAATAACATTCTACAATTTTTAAGAAAAGAAAAAATAAAAATAACTTTTATTTATGAAAATAAAAGTAAAAGTAAAAAATATATATGAGAAAAAAAAGGAAAATGAAACCAAAAATAAAAAGGAAAATTAAATAGTAATAAAAAATTTTGGGCCTAACCCAATTTTTTTTTACCGTAAGTGTCAAAATTTTAACCTAATTTTTGGGTTTAAAATGGGGCATCCCGTTTTCCTACGAGAGGATTCTTGGACCCTCACTATTTTTCCTAAACCTTTCTCACTCTCGGCCTCTCTATTTTTTCCCAGGTGGAAGCCCCTGCACCCCTAGGACATCCACCTTCACTGGAGCTTCCATTCACCTCCTCCGACCCTCATCCCAGTAGCGGGCCCACCACTTCCCCTCATTCCCTTTCTCCATCAAATCCCATCTTCACTCACCATCTTCCTCCATCATCCGCGCCCTGCACCCTTTATCCATAAACTTCTCCTTCCCTCACCAGCACATTTTTTTTGTCTCCATCTTCGCGGGTTTACTCATCCCTAAACCCCAAACCAGCCCTAGACCCGTGCGCTGTTTATCCGCCAGCACCTACTCACTCGGGTTCACTCTCTTCTCCTCCATCCCCATACAGCCGCGGCCAGCCACCTTGGGCTTTGGCCACGCCGCTGACCCCCTTGGGCTTTGGCCACGCCGCTGACCCCTCACCGCAAGCGACCCTTGCTGCGGGCCACTACCATCGAACCAGCCGCGACGCGGCCAATCGCCTTGGGTCATCGCAGCTTCGCCACCTCGCCCTAACCCGTGCCTTCAGTCGCGGCACCTCCACCACCTCACCGCGTCAGCAACACCGCGAGGTGCCTCGCCGGGGTCCCAAGTCGCCACACTAGTGGCCTCTGCAAGCCCCATCCCTTTGCTCCACCGTGCAGCGAAGCGTGTGGCCCCAACCCCGCTCACAAGCCAAACTGTGGGGCTCTGTATTTCTCTATTCCCCTATTTCAGCTAATTTTGCTCAGATTCATTTTTGATTTGGCATTCAATTCGGTTTCGCATTTGGTTTGAATCTGGATCAATCTGTTTGGACATGGTTTTTTGTGTTTGTGTTTGGTTTATGTTGTTTGATGCAAACTAGTTTTTGGGGTTAAAATGGAGGCTTATTGGGTTTGTTCGTTATAGGGGTCGGAGTCGTTTGTATTTGGATAAATATCTCATACAGGGTGGTGTTTGATTGGGGAGTGGTGGTTTTGGTCTCATTTCTAGTTTGGGATTGGAGTATGAGTGTGGTCAGGGACGCTGGATTGTGGATCACTGCAGTCTGGGTCTTAATGAGAGAGTGTTTGATTTATATTTTTTTTTTTTTTGTGTAATTATGGACTGCATCTGCTTATTGAGCCCATATTATTGTAATCGGGTATTTGATGTTCTTCCCTACTTTTGGATTGTGTTAATTGGATTTTTGTCACGTTTCTGGTCTCCGGTGGAGGGTCTAACATTATTCTTGTATGAATTAAACAAGATTTTTTATTTGATGCGTTGCGACTTAGGGTTGTCGGCCCTGCGTTCTGATTAGGGTTGTCGGCCTCTCGTTCCGAGTAGGGCTGTCGGCCCCGCGCTCCGATTTAGGTATTTGGATGTTTGGTACTTTACGATTTTATTTTCCAAAATAAACTTTGACCGTACGGGTACGGCACTCGCTTTGTTATGTCTTATGTTTTTAAATAAACTTTGAATTACGGTTGCGTGTTCTCTGTTTTTAAATAAATTTTGAGGTACGGGTTATTATGTTCTCTATTTTTAAATAAACTATGGTCGTTTGTCTCGATATGTCCTTTATTTTTAAATAAACTTTGAGGTACGGGTACGGTTCATGTTACTACTTAAAAATAAACTTTGAAGTACGGGTATGGTTCATGTCGCTACTTAAAAATAAACTTTGAAGTACGGGTACGGTCGCTTGTGTCGTTATGTCCTTTATTTTTAAATAAACTTTGAGGTATGGGTACGGTTGCTCATGTCGCTACTTAAAAAAAAATTTTGAGTTTTTAAATAAACTTTGAGGTACGGTTGTTTGCTTCGTTATGTCCTCTACTTAAGAGGTACAGGTACGGTTGCTCGTGTCGTTATGTCCTCTACTTAAAAAAAAAAAAAACTTTGAGGTACGATACTGTTGTTATGTCCTCTATTTTTAAATAAACTTTGAGGTACGGGTACAGTTACTTGTGTCATCATGTCCTCCATTTTTAAACGAACTTTGAGGTACTAGTACGTGTTGTCCTGTCCTCTGTTTTTAAATAACCTTTGAAGTATGAGTATGGTCGCACACATCATCATGTGTCTTCAAAACGTAAAAAAAAAAATACAAAACTCTTTCAAAGTCAAAAAAATTTTCAAAACAATAATCAAACACACAAAGTTTTTCTACAAAAAACTATGTAACCCTGATTTCTCATTTTGAATTCATTTTGAATGAGAATACGTAGGAGCAAGGTAACTCCTTGTCGAGCCCAAAAAAACTAAAAAATATTTTATTCCATTTCTTTTCCTTTTTCTTTCTTTATTTTTTTATTTTTGAGGAAAATAAATATTTTTAAAAGGACATTTAATTTCGCACACTCAACTAAGGGTAATAGTCTTAGGACGGACGTTGTAGGGTGTTAATACCTTCCCTACTCATAACCGACTCCTGAACTTGAATTTGGTTTTCGTAGACCTTGTCTTATCTTTATGGTTTTTCCATAGTTTTCCTAAATAAACTATGATGGTGACTCCAAAACTCTTATTCTGATTTTTTTAAAAAATCTTTTTGAAATTTTGGCTCGTCGTCCCATTGCGATTTCGGTTGCGACAGATAGCGACTCCACTGGGGACGCGTTAGAGAGTCAAGTCTATTTAGTTGAGTGTGCGAGATGTATGTCTTTTTTAAAATGTTTGTTTCCTTCTTTCTTTTTTTACCTTGTTTGTTCTTGATGTTTTGTTAGTGTTACTAAAAAAATTATTGAACTATTGAATCCTAGGGTGGACGACATGTGTTACATCTGCCTGGGATTTTTCTGGTTACCCTGAACCATGGTTAGGGCACAAAGGGAGAATTATGCATTCTTGTACCCTCACTTCTATTTTACACAATAAATGTACCATATGCATTATCTTTTTCATCCTGATGCATCTTTTCCGTTCTTTCCACATAATAAGAGAGGAATCAATTCATGCTCTCTTTCCTTATGCATTTCATACAATTGTACATTTATCTTAACCTATAGAGGTGAGAAATCATAAAATTGTTTGGTTATCCTAGTGAAAGAGGGAAATTAATACAGAGTCCAGATTCAACCATAACGAAGAAAGAATACAACTTTGTTTTAACAAGTTTAACTCTGTATTAATTTCCTTCATACAACAAGCGACACAAGGATACTTATTCAATTTTATGAAATGCCACCAATTTCCCATATTGGTCTTGCATCTTTTTGCATGCATCTTGTCTTCCATATTCTAATTCATGTTAATAAAACTAACAAAAAGAGTGAAGTCGTGTGTGAGGAATAACGACTAAGCCACCGCGACATCCTTATAGGACTCGAGCAAATTAGAAGATAATGGAAGATTGGGAAAGTTCTTAAGAGGCTATGAGGTCTGACATCAACCAGCTAAAAGACCAGATGAATCAAATCCTGGAAGCTTTGAAAGCCCTCAAAAGCACTGACAAGACTCATGTTGTTGAAAACCAAGAGGGAAACAATACTCAAATGCCAGAATACGGGACCCATATGCCTACAATACATCTTTGCAGCTGGAAGCATGTCTGAGGCAAATCCATTTACAGGACCGCAGGTCATTGTACCTCCAGGAGTTTTGCACCTGGTGACGGGAGAAGGATATGAAGTGAAACAACCATTTCAAACTGTCATGCCTGGTGTGGTCACTAAAGATGTCAAAGCCAAAGAGAAGTTGGACATCCTAGAAGAAAGGCTAAGAGCCATTGAGGAGGGAGGAAATCATGGCTTCGGAGATGCTGTCGGATTGTGTCTGGCCCTAGACGTCGTTATACCTCCAAAGTTCAAGGTGCCTGGATTTGAAAAGTATAAAGGGACGACCTGTCCCAAGAGTCACATAATCATGTACTGTAGGAAGATGGCATCCTTTGCTCATAACGAGAAGATGCTAATCCACTTTTTTCAAGACAACTTGTCTAATACGGCTCTAAACTGGTATATGCACCTTGAACCTACCCGTGTTCGTTCTTGGGGGAATCTACTAGATGCATTCATGCAGTAGTACAAGTACAACGTTGATATGGCTCCTGGTAGGTTGCAGCTACAAAATATGATGAAGAAAGGAAGAGAAACTTTTAAAGAATACGCTCAATGGTGGAGAGAAGTTGCTGCCCAAGTAGAACCGCCATTACAAGACAAGGAGATGGTGGCTATGTTTTTAACCACCTTGCAATCTCCGTTCTATGAGCATATGATAGCAACGTCTCTTCAAACTTTTCTGATCTCGTCATAATTAGGGAAAGAGTAGAGGCCGGTCTGAAGACTGGAAGAATCGCACCTGGCATGTTTGCGGCCTCAAGTATAACAAAATCGGAGAAAGAAGGGGAAGTGCATGCAACATCTTCCACACCCCTCCTGGGTGAACCGTGGCTCAGTTTATGGACGGAACTACTTGCAACCTGTAGCCCATACCTATTATTCCCAGCAACAAGCTTTCCCTCAAGCGCAGGTCGCTCAAGGTTCAACATCTCAACTCAAACATTCCAACGATGGGTCAGGCCAAGGATCAAATCAAGATTTTAATTTTACTCCCATCCTGATGACTTATACTGAGTTGTTGCCTAACCTCCTTCATAGCAAGCTAGTTGCTATTTTCCCCATGAAACCTGTGCAGCCGCCATACCCAAGAAATTATGATGTGAATGATGTATGCAATTATCATGGAGGGGTTATTGGGCATTCTACAGAGAAATGCTTTGGGTTCAAACACAAAGTGCAAGCTCTATTTGATCCTGGATGGTTGAGTTTCGAGGAAGACAAACCTAGTGTTGAACACAATCCTCTACCAGGGCATGACAACACTTCCGCAAATGTTGTGAAAAATAAGGGCTAGGGGAAGACCTGACGGGCATCTTGATTTGATTGATGTCAATTTTGGTTCATTTTCATGATTTTGCTAAGACTCTTGTCTTATTAGCTTTTGTTATGTGAGACTTTTATACCCTTGTATGAATGATGATGGTTTGTTTAACAAGTTTATTCTATATCATATTGGGTTATGCATTTATCAATGAGCGCAATGACTTTCTTCATAGAGCATGGAAGGATACTGGTTTTAGCTCGAATAAAGTCCTAAACGGGTGTCGCAATTTAAAAAAAAAATTGAAAAAAAAATGAAAAAAGGCAAAAAAAGAAGAAGCAAAACTGCATGTTGAGTTAATTATTTATTTTCAACAATCATCAAATTCATGGCGTTTTAAAATAATTTTTCAAAATAATTTTCAAAAAAAATGATGAAAAGTTCAACAAAAAAGGAGAATAATGGTGGGGAATGTCATGCGCTTTCTTCGGTCCAATGCCTTGATAAAAGATGATAAGCTGAATTTCCCTTTGAAGTATTAATAGTTGGGATGCTTGAAACCATTCAACCCATCCATCCCTCCTTAAAATAAACGGATTTGCTCCAGTAAGGTTCATCATCGCCCAAAATAAAGCGACCTCATTCTGAAGTAACTCCACTGGGTTTATCTTATCTGTGAAAAAAAAAACGAATAAAATAGAAAGAATAGTCCGCTAGACTGAAAATCCGCAAGGGCGGTTTAGGGAAAAACAGGACACAAGAATAAAGAAAATAGATAATAAAAAGGCAATTCATGTCGAAAGTCATCAAATTTTGTTGTAAGATCAATCTTTGCAAAAATAAGACAATCATGATTTAAAGTGATATGTGACCATGTTTCTTTATCCCAAAAAATATATAAACAGTATCCCTTGCTACCCCTTTTGAGCAAAAAAAAATATATTTTTCTGTCAAATTACCCCTAAACAAGGATTTCCCATATCAAAAGTCAACTCATTGTTACATCAAGTGCATTTAACAGCTGACATTCAACAAAAAAGGAAGAAAAGAGAATGAAAGAGAAAAACACAAAAGAAAAGAAAAGAAAATCATCCTTCAAGAAGTAGAATGAATCCAGAGTCTGGAAGCATAAAAAAAAATCAAAAAAAGAAAAGAAAAATGTTGGACAAATCAAACATTGGTTATAAATGCAGCATAACTTGGGTTGACAATCCTTGTTTCAAATAACCTGCAAACACTATTTTGAGCCTTAATACCCTTTTTTTCATAGCCATTAACCCATAGCCACGTTACAAGCCAAATAAAAGTCCACACTAATTAAGGATTGGTTGTCTGGTTTTTGCAACACTTGATCTTATGATAAGATTTCTTAACTGACGACATGACTGCTAAAAAAAACATAAAAAAAATAGAAAAAGAAAATAAGCAAAGTTCTTGAACTGTCTTAAATAGTCGATAAGCCAAGAAGGGACAATATTTTCGCTTTTGTCATGCCATCGCCAAAATGAGGGGCAATCCTACCTATCGTACCGTCCTCCTAGGGCAATCTTCTTCACTCCTATCTTAACTACCGAATGGGGCAATCCTTCTACTATCCTACCATTACCTTGGGATCAATTCTTCCTATGTTTGTCACCTTAACCATCAAAATAGGGGCAATCATGTCCATCTCTTTCGTACCACTGCTATAATAGGGGGCAACTCACACTTTTCCCTAACCTTTTGTCATTTAGCTTCCCTACAACTCGAAACTAGATCAACGTTGCCTGTTTCTGTAACTCCACCTTATGCAGTTTTTTCGGGGAACCTCCCTACATAACCTAACATCATCGCCAACTTCCTTTAAGCCTGTCAACTTAGCCAAACAAGCCATATCTCCAAACGACCAGTCAAGCAGGCATCTGATTCTTCAATGTTTCAAAGGAAAATGTCGATTTGGCCATACTTCAATCATTGCATTGGGCTTCAGGATTTGCAACGTCCCCCCACTTGCATTCTTTAAAGCAGAATAAAATGACAACTTTTCATGGATTTGATGATTATGAAGGGAATAATCATTTCAAAATGCTTGCATTCGTAAAAAGTAAAAAAAATCAAAAGAGAGAAAAGAAAGAAAGAAAACAAATAAACAAAGTGTTACAATTTGCCTGTCAACAACATGCATCCATCAATCCATACAGTCACATTGACATTAACATCAATCAACCACATGCGTCCATGCACCCTTATCTATACCAACAACATCTATTTACAGTGGCTTTTACATCATCCACACGTTCACATTTTGTATTGGCACCTCCATGCATTCGTACGTTCAAATCAGCGCATGCACCCATGCATCTCCACTTGCATGACAATACATGCATCCTCATCTCTCATATCAACATCTGCATTTAAGCCCAACATCTGTTGGAACCCACATTAAGCCCAGTATCTGTCTAGCACTTGCATCTAGCCTGCCTACCTGGCATATGCATTAAAAAAGGAGTCTAGTTTTCCCTGGCAATATCAAACATCTTTTTCAAATAGTTCGGATTGATAATCAGTCCCTTCCACGAGCGATCTATATATCCATTTTCAAGCAGTTTGAATTGACGGTCAGTCCCTTCCACGGGCGATCTATACATCCATTTTCATATAGTTCGAATTGATGATTAGTCCCTTCCACGGGCAATCTATATATCCTTTTTTCAAGTAGTTCGGATTGACGATCAGTCCCTTCCACGGGTGATCTATACATCTTTTTTCAAGTAGTTCGGATTGACGAGCAGTCCCTTCCACGAGCCATCTATACATCCTTTTTCAAGTAGTTCAGATTGACGATCAGTCCCTTACATGAGCGATCTATACATCCTTTTTCAACACAATTCGGATTGACGGTCAGTCCCTTCCACAGGCGATCTATATATCCTTTTTCAAATAGTTCGGATTGACGATCAATCCCTTCCACGGGTGATCTAAACATCCTTTTGCAATTTATTTTTCGGATTGACGATTAATCCCTTCCACAGACAATCTATATATCCTTTTAAATTTCTTGTCGGATTGATAGTTTGTCTCACCCGTGAGCAACCCATACGTCCTCTTTTTGTCGTAATTCTCGAAACTCGAACGAAATCACTGTTTCTATCTTTACTTATCTTTTACTATGATCATCCGAAAATTCTAAATTTTCATATTATCTAGTAAAAGCTAAGTAAAGAGGGACAACTATCGAGCATCCAATTTCGTCCAGGTAAACATAAAAATTAGATAGATAACAACTTATTCGAAAAAAGAGAAAAAATATTAAAATAAAAAAATAAAGAAATATTTTCTTTTAAGCACTTTAAAATAAAAAAAATAAAAAAAGGAAAAATATAATAATTTTCTTTAATAACATTCTACAATTTTTAAGAAAAGAAAAAATTAAAATAACTTTTATTTATGAAAATAAAAGTAAAAGTAAAAAATATATATGAGAAAAAAAAAGGAAAATGAAACCAAAAATGAAAGGGAAAATTAAATAGTATTAAAAAATTTTGGGCCCAACTCAATTTTTTTTTTTACCCTAAGTGTCAAAATTTTAACCTCATTTTTGGGTTTAAAATGGGGCATCCCGTTTTCCTACGAGAGGATTTTTGGACCCTCACCATTTTTCCTAAACCTTTCTCACTCTCGGCCTCTCTATTTTTCCCCAGGTGGAAGCCCCTGCACCCCTAGGACATCCACCTTCACTGGAGCTTCCATTCACCTCCCCCGACCCTCATCCCAGTAGCGGGCCCACCGCTTCCCCTCATTCCCTTTCTCCATCAAATCCCATCTTCACTCACCATCTTCCTCCATCATCCGCGCCCTGCACCCTTTATCCATAAACTTCTCCTTCCCTCACCAGCACATTTTTTTTGTCTCCATCTTCGCGGGTTTACTCATCCCTAACCCCAAACCAGCCCTAGACCCGTGCGCTGTTTATCCGCCAGCACCTACTCACTCGGCTTCACTCTCTTCTCCTCCATCCCCATACAGCCGCGGCCAGCCACCTTGGGCTTTGGCCACGCCGCTGACCCCTCACCGCAAGCGACCCTTGCTGCGGGCCACTACCATCGAACCAGCCGCGACGCGGCCAATCGCCTTGGGTCATCGCAGCTTCGCCACCTCGCCCTAACCCGTGCCTTCAGTCGCGGCACCTCCACCACCTCACCGCGTCAGCAACACCGCGAGGTGCCTCGCCGGGGTCCCAAGTCGCCACACTAGTGGCCTCTGTAAGCCCCATCCCTTTGCTCCACCGTGCAGCGAAGCGTGTGGCCCCAACCCCGCTCACAAGCCAAACTGTGGGGCTCTGTATTTCTCTATTCCCCTATTTCAGCTAATTTTGCTCAGATTCATTTTTGATTTGGCATTCAATTCGGTTTCGCATTTGGTTTGAATCTGGATCAATCTGTTTAGACATGGATTTGTTGTGTTTGTGTTTGGTTTATGTTGTTTGATGCAAACTAGTTTTTGGGGTTAAAATGGAGGCTTATTGGGTTTGTTCGTTATAGGGGTCGAGGCTGAGTCGTTTGTATTTGGATAAATATCTCATACAGGGTGGTGTTTGATTGGGGAGTGGTGGTTTTGGTCTCATTTCTAGTTTGGGATTGGAGTATGAGTCTGGTCAGGGATGCTGGATTGTGGATCACTGCAGTCTGGGTCTTAATGAGAGAGTGTTTGATTTATATATATTTTTTTGTGTGTAATTATGGACTGGATCTGCTTATTGAGCCCATATTATTGTAATCGGGTATTTGATGTTCTTCCCTACTTTTGGATTGTGTTAATTGGATTTTTGTCATGTTTCTGGTATTCGGTGGAGGGTCTAACATTATTCTTGTATGAATTAAACAATATTTTTTATTTGATGCGTTGCGACTTAGGGTTGTCGGCCCCGCCTTCTGATTAGGGTTGTCGACCCCGCCTTCGGATTAGGGATGTCGGCCCGTGCTCCGATTTAGGTATTTGGATGTGTGGTCCTTTACGATTTTATTTTCCAAACTAAACTTTGAGGAACGGATACACTAATCGCGATGTTATGTCTTTTTAAATAAACTTTGAGGTACTGATACTACGGGTATTCGCTTTGTTATGTATTCTTTTTTTAAATAAACTTTGGTCGTTATGTAGGGGTCGTTATGTCGTTTTATTTTTAAATAAACTTTGAGGCACGGGTACGATCGCTCGCGTCGTTATGTCCTTTACTTTGAGGCACGGATACGGTCGCTCGCATCGTTATGTCCTCTACTTAAAAGAAATTTTTTTTTTGAGGTAAGGGTATGGTCGCTTGCGTCGTTGTGTTCGTTATGTCCTCTATTTATAAATAAACTTACGGGTATGGCCACTCGCATCGTTATCCTCTATTTTTAAATAAACTTTGAGGTACGGGTACGACTGTTCGCGTTGTCATGTCTTCCATTTTTAAACGAACTTTGAGGGACCAGTATGACCGTTCGTGTTATCATGTCTTCTCTTCTTAAATAATCTTTGAAGCATGGGTATGGTCATGTGTCTTCAAAACATAAAAAAAATTTACAAAACTCTTTCAAAGTCAACAAAATTTTCAAAACATTATTCAAACACACAAAGTTTTTCTACAAAGAACTACATAACCCTGATTTCTCATTTTGAATGAGAATACGTTTCTCATTTTGAATGAGAATACGTAGAAGCAAGGTCAATCCTTGTCGGACAAAAAAAAAACTAAAAAATATTTTATTCCATTTCTTTTCCTTTTTCCTTTTTCTTTCTTTATTTTTTTATTTTTGAGGAAAATAAATATTTTTAAAAGGATATTTAATTTTGCACACTCAACTAAGGATAATCGTCTTAGGACGGTAGGGTGCTAATACCTTCCCTACTCATAATCGACTCCCGAACCTGAATTTAGTTTTCTTAGACCTTGTCTTATCATTTTTTCATAATTTTCCTAAATAAATTATGGTGGCGATTCCAAACTCTGATTCTGATTTTTTTTAGATCTTTTTGAAATTTTGACACGTCGTCCCGTCGCGATTTTGATTGCAACAGTAAGATGTGGCCTGCTAGATGAAAAATAGTAAATTTCACCTTCTTTCGGTGCATTGTTCGTCAAGAAGTAATTATGGTATTGTTATATCCACTTATTTATTTTTATTTTTTCCATTAAAGAGATGAAAATCAATTTTAGCTAATTGAGTGTCCCAACCCAAGAATAAGAAGAATTTTCCATTAAAACAATGAAAATCAGTTTTAGCTAATTGAGTGTACCAGGAATAGGAAGAAAGATTGTGATTTTCACCTTATGTATAATATGCAGTCAGATTCCAAGTCTCATTCCTACCTTGTGCTTCAATAATTCTTGCATCGATTTTTATAGATATAGTTAATGTTTGTTTGAGTAATCCTGCTAACTCTATTAAACAAGAATCCATGTGACCTACCAGGTGTTTTTCCATTCCATGTCTTTCATTGTTTGAGTATTGCGCATACCATATGTCATATCTACGAATTCCGAGAGGATCATGCATGGTTGATACCTATTCTTATGTAACTTTTTTGATAAGAATTCAAAGAAAAATGTAAAGAGAATAATTTTTTTCAAGATCTGAAAGATTATTGAGATTTCAAGTATAATGAATAATTTTTTTCTAGTGAATGGATCTATTGGATAACCCACTATTTACCATTAACCAACTTAACGATTTTTTCAATTAAACTTATACCTGTGTTTATTATACATAGCCCTAAATCTTGACTGAATCCCATAAAACTATGTTCATAGTCATTGCAAAGCCTTTGATAGGATCAACAACTCTCCTACGTCAAGTCCATTTTGTGTTTCAATGTTATCCTTCAAGTTGTGTTGGACAACCTTTGCGATCTCACTATTCTCTAATTTTTGTTCTTTGGTCCACCTCATAAATAAGATGATAGGATGGTACCCAGTGAGGTAAGGTAAAGGAAAGAACGACATTAAATCAAAGAAAGCATCACAAGAGTTTAGGGCTTGCGAGAGGGAGAGGAAAGAATGAGAAAAGAAAAGATGACGAATTTGGTAAAGGTGGGTACACAAATATTTTTTTCTATAATTATAAAATTATCTATTTTATTTTACTAAAATAAAATATTAATTACTAATATATATATATATATATATATATATATATTACAATATAAATCATATATTTATAAATTAGTTTATATATAATTAAATATAAGTAGTTACGAAAATTTATAAAATAATTGATGAATATTTATTATACATTTTTCATATTTTTAAATCAATATAATTTAAATTTAAATTAATATTACTATTAAAAATGATATTTCATTTAAAATAATAGTATATATACGTAAGGAAAAGAATACAAATGTTAAAAGAAAACAGCAAATATCTTTAAATTGAAAATTAAAAATTGTTAATTTCCGTATGTGAAATTTTTTCATTTCTCTATGTAAATTACATAAATTAATAGAAAATCATAAAGCTATTTTCCATATAATTTATGTACATTTTTTTACCTCACTATTTGTTTTTCTCTCGTAAAGTATCAATGCAATAGATATTTTGATTAATTAAAATTAATTATTTTAATCTACAGTTTAATCTAGCAATTCTAAGTTTACATTTTACTAATATTACTCTATTAACTATTCAGATAAGTGTCATTTAATTAAATTCAATGATTTTTTTTCATTTAGAATTTTCTGAGTTTAATTAGAAAAGTCACAAATAATTGAAATTTTACTAATTTTATGATTATTTAATACTATCACTCTATCATAGTGAATGATAATTATGATTTAACTACAACGTTAACACAAGCTTTAAATTAAAATTATTTACATTATTAGGTAGTTTAAATTTTATGTACAATTAATTGAAAATTTCAAAACAAATATATAAAGATTGGCATTTAGAAATAATTCTTCTATATTGTATACTCAGTTTTATGATTTAATTATGTGCTAATCTCGTTTTATTTAAAATTTAAGTCCTTACAATAGTTTAATTTTTCTTCGTAAGTAAGAATATTAAAATAATTATCAGAATAAATTGAAGTTTTATTTACATATAAAATATAAATAGAATAATTAATATGAAGTTTAAATATAAATCTAATAGTTAAAATAACTGATTTGATCCTCAATCTAATAGTTGATTCAGTGATTTAATTCGCGTTAACGAAATACTAACGTATTAATAAAACATTTATCAATAAAAAAAAACTATTAGTTACTCATGAGAAATTTCAAATGGGATTGAACCTATTGCTATTAGTAATTTTATTTACTCATTTTCAAAAAAATATGTTTCCAACTTCTATTTTCGACTCAACATGACATTTTGTATGCTTTAAACTAGTTTTAATAAATGGAGTCACAACAAACACTACTACTACAGGATCAAAATTTACAGGAAGGGGGAATAAAATAAGATAGAAAAGACCAAAATTAGTATTAAGAATGCGTTTCAGTTCGTGTAAGAGTTACTATTTTAAGACAACCAAAAAGGAATGGAACAAAGAAAGGATTTGTGTAGAACCAAAAGTTCCACCTCCTTCCCTTCTTCTCCCAGCAGTATGGTGATATCTCGTTGCCGCCCTTTACATTTGTTTCAAACTCAATTAAAGTTCACACCCTATCATGTTCGTGTGATAAGCTTTTTCCTCTCTCTCTCTCTCTCTCTCTCTTCTATTCTCTTCTCTTCTCTCGTCTCTCTATGTATGGTACAGCTCAATAGCTTGGCGCAGATTTGTCATTGCTATCCTGCCGTGTCATCTGGAGCTGGTTCATCTGGAGTTCCATCAGTATGGCCATTGCATTCTTGCTTTTGCACTTTTTCTTTTGGTGACGTACTACTAATATTATGATTAGTTTTCCCATTTTCCTTCTCCAGCATGGTTTGAGTTTCGATGCTTGGATTTATGTCAGCAAATGTACCTGTTGGTAACTGTTGCTGTGAGTTAGCTGACCCCGGTGGAGGTAGAAAGACTCCTGTGCCAGGAGCAGGGATTCGAGGAGGAGGATGCCTTGGAGGAGGAGCTGTTGTCCATCCCACGGAACTGGGTGGGATTGGCACGGGTGCAGGAAACGGCATGGGAGGTACAACTGGAGCGGTAACAAATAATGGTTGCATGCCAACTTGAGGTGGTATTTGTGATCGAATGGGTGGAGCTGGCAGTACTCCAGTTGTTGGAAGTGCAGCATAATGCTTGGAGCCTACATGATGACGAACATGATTGGGGGATCGGCTTGGTGGAGGACTCCAATGAGAAGATACTGCTGGTGTGTAAAGACGTTGGGCATCACTTGGTAATGACTTTTTTGGTTGGGACTTTGTGAAGGTAACAAGTATGCGTTGCTTTCGTATCGAAGGAAGAGCATGCTTAGCAAAATCACTGGATTTCCCTTGGATAGCCAGAAGGGACCTACAGCAGCCAATGTCAAACCATATCAGATCTCAAGTATGGAATCAGCACAAAGGGTAGTCAAATTTCAGATTATATTACAAGTGTGCAACATTAAAACATTTAGCTCTCTTCTCATATTGAATTCTGCACATCCACAATGCAGAACGCATCAGAGTTTACTCCCAAACTAATAAGACCAACAAGCAAAGTCAGCATTGCCTACAAAGGTATCAAACTTATTAATCACCTCCATGAATTGAATAAAACCAAAACATTAGTCCCACAGACTCTTGTTCAATAAACAAAGAACACTCCATGTGATAAATAACGGTGGAAAACCTTCTAATGGTAAGTCAGAAATAATGACAAAAGACAAATATTGTCACCCATAAAAACTAGAGCATTCTCTTGTGCATAACACACATATGGTCACGGTCACCACAAACAAATTACAATTATTATTAATTACAACATGGCTAAGATCTTACTCTTCCCAAACAATATTATAGAACAAACATCAGATCTTAGTAAAAGACAAGGTTTGAAAGCAGTACCCTGGGACGAGAGAAAGACTGAGACTGCCCCTATAATCCCCAGGATGTTCCGAGGCAATTACTCTTCCAAAAGTCATTTCACATTCTGTTAGAAAAAGGATATAAACGGGCCTTCCAAACCATGATGGCCAGCTGTGGGGCTGTGAGTGATCACCCTATAGACAATTGTGTTACCAGATTGGATTAGCAAATCCGATACCAATATATACTCCAATAAATAGAAAAGTAGAATGCTGGCAAGATATTGTTTGCCACTCTTTTCAAACAGACCAATTATTATTGGATAAAATCCATACGGAACCTACCAACAGGGAGTGGGACCATTAACTAGGAAGTGATTCCCACATGAATTTCACCAATAATAGATTTTTGAAACTAATGAGTTAGCCAATGTGGCTAGCTTTTCTCATAAAAAATAGAATATTAGAAAAACTAACCTCGTTATAGAAATCCACAATGCAACAATCAGGTTTCACAGTCATTACTTGTGATGAAACCATTCGCTCAATAATATCTTGAAACAAGGAAGGAATAGGTTCTATATTCATATCTGCCAGATTCAATTAGTAAAACATTAATACAAGGGCTGGTAAAAGACTGCATATAAGAAAATCACACAATGTAACATGCCTTTGGAGGCTCCTGTCATACTTTCCCCTTCTGCTGGGGCATCAGCAATTGGAACACCCAACTGAATCATTTCCCTTCCATGCCCTTTCATGGGCCTTCTTGAAACTACATATGCCTGACTTCCTGCTTATAAAAATATATTCATCAACTAATTTTTTTTTTTTAATAAAACAAGTTTGCAGGATCAATGGTAAAATTATTTCCCCACGGGAGGATATAAAAATAAATATAACAATAGGACTGAAAACCAGAGTATATGTATTACAAATTGAGTATCAACCAAAATGAATGTCAGATAAAATACAGTAATTGGGTGATGTGTATTCTTTTATGCTCCTTATCTCCTCATTTGGCCATTGCAAACCTTATTGTCCAATTCCTGGGTACGCTAAAGCCTTCTATTGGATCTTCAATAGTTCAATATTTTCTTATCATTACCAGACATAACATTTATGATAGCAATAGTCGAGAAATAGACAAATATCACAGTAATAAAAAAAATGCATACTGTTCTCGTGGCCGGCTTGGCCAAATAGTTAAGGGCCCAAGGTGTATTATCTCTCTATCCCTCTCCTCTTAACTACTATTCATATTGACTTCAGTTTAAGAGTTCTTAATATGAAGCAAGGACAATTGCCATTGGAGGACCAACTTACACCCTTGAGACCACAGGGCATGTGTAACAACCATAAGGCTAAGAAGGGAACCATCCCTCAAAAGCTAGCTCAAGAGGTTGGAGAACCTCCTACCTTATAAGGCTTCCCTGGTAAGGAGACCTCCCCAATGTGGGACTTGTTACAATACCACCCTGTTCGAAAGCCAGCGTCCTCGATGGCTGCACTCCACGACACTTCACTCACCGGCACTTCACTCACTAGCACTTTACTTGGCTTTCTTACCGGTCAGAACCCTCCAGTGGTCAGAACCCTCCGGCGGTCAGAACCCTCCGTGGGTAGCCCTTCTCGAGTTGGCTGACTCTCAATGAAAGCACCAATGTAACAACCATAAGGCTAAGAGGGGAACCATCCCTCAAAAGCTAGCTCAAGAGGTTGGAGAACCTCCTACCTTATAAGGCTTCCCTGGTAAGGAGACCTCCCCAATGTGGGACTTGTTACAATACCACCCCGTTCGATGGCTGCACTCCACGACACTTCACTCACCGGCACTTCACTTACTAGCACTTTACTCGGCTTTCTTACCGGTCAGAACCCTCCAGTGGTCAGAACCCTCCGGCGGTCAGAACCCTCCGTGGGTAGCCCTTCTCGAGTTGGCTGGCTCTCAATGAAAACACCAATGTAACAACCATAAGGCTAAGAGGGGAACCATCCCTCAAAAGCTAGCTCAAGAGGTTGGAGAACCTCCTACCTTATATGGCCTCCCTGGTAAGGAGAACTCCCCAATGTGGGACTTGTTACAATACCACCCCGTTCGAAAGTCAGCGTCCTCGATGGCTGCACTCCACGACACTTCACTCACCGGCACTTCACTCACTAGCACTTTACTCGGCTTTCTTACCGGTCAGAACCCTCCAGTGGTCAGAACCCTCCGGCGGTCAGAACCCTCCGTGGGTAGCCCTTCTCGAGTTGACTGGCTCTCAATGAAAGCACCAATGTAACAACCATAAGGCTAAGAGGGGAACCATCCCTCAAAAGCTAGCTCAAGAGGTTGGAGAACCTCCTACCTTATAAGGCCTCCCTGGTAAGGAGACCTCCCCAATGTGGGACTTGTTACAGCATGCAATCACTCCCCTTTGGACTTGTGAAGAACACATACAATGATTGATATAACTTACAACAAGCAAACTGTGTTAGCAATCGCACATTGTGTGAAATAAATGACCTGTTTCATATTTAATCCTTGAGACTATCCTCTTTATAGTTTGGTCTTTAGTGTTGAGCTCTCCATTAATATTTAAGTTCTAACAATTGGTGTTTTCATAAAAAAGTTACCGAAACAGCTACCTATAGGATAGATTAAGGTGCAATATCAAATACTGATAGATGTGTGATGTCGTCAAAGGGGAAAAGGTTTACTATTGAGTCAAAGTTGATAGAGTAAAATTGTCATGAACATATGCTCTTAAAAGGTGACAATGTTGTATATTGAGTGAAATAGAGGACTTAATGTGATATTTTAAGCCGTGCAGTTTTCCCATCTAATAGACAAGTCTTTAGGGTTTGGCTTCTTGTGTTTAAGTCTTAACATTATGTGTCACAACGCATGGCTGTATACGACTCTACAATTGTTATCAAACAAGAATAATGCAATCTGAGTCTTTGCCCATGACTATTCAAAATGGCTGGTATACTACTCTATGATTGTTATTATCCAAGAATAGTGTAAGTTGATTTTTTGCCCATGCTATTCAACTATTGAGTTGAACCAAAGACAATATATACAAGCCAACCACATTTTTACACAGAAACTTCTAACTTCATGAACATGGGCAAAGGACCTGCTACGCATATGGCCACACCTAATTGCTATCAATCAAGTCCTATTTAAAAGGGAAACAGTAACAAACAACTACATTTACCTTGTAACTGTCCTTTTTTGCCAGAAATCCTTAGATCATTGACCAATGAAACAAGTTTTGAAACTCCAGTGCTATCAAGTAAATCTTCATACAACTTCAGTCCATCAGCCACATTCACCTAAAAATGAAGAAATAGAAAGGTACATCTTAAATATAGAACATAAAAGATGGAAATAAAAGAAAACTTATGAGACAGCATATACACATCATGATATAATGACATCATAAAAAATAAAGAAACATTTTAAAGGACCCTACCATCTTCCCATCAATCATTTCATTTCCAATAAAAGTCTTTGCTAAGGTAGAAAAACTTTGGCTATGAAGTTCACTTTCCACAGAATCTGAATCATTCCCTGGAAACACATTTCACAAGAGTTAAATGTCATTTAACTAATAAGTATGCATGTAAAACAATGATACTTAGGAAATAGCAACAAAATTCAAAAAATAGAAAGTACTAATTTCAAAGAATAGATAGATAAGATTTGAGAAAAAAAGGAAATTTTTATATAATATATATATATATATATATATATATATATATATATAGAGAGAGAGAGAGAGAGAGAGATTATAAGTAATTATAGCTGTATTTGGGAATTTGAATTGAAACTTTAACATAACAGGAAATTTTAACATAAAAATAAATTTTAAAATAATTAATAATTTGAAAATGTTAAATAAAATAGCAAATAAGGTTAAAGTCAAATGCCACAAAGAGCATGAAAATAAAATAAAAATGTCTTCAAATTCAACAGTAAATAGATTTTCTTATATAAGGAGTGATGATAAACAAATATTAAACAAAAAATCTGCAAAGAAAACACTGACTACAAGCTGACTCCAGATTTGACTCTCAGTGTATGGTCTAAATCAAAGAAGGGTCAGTACCTACATTTTTGTTATTTTGTACCCAAATTTTATGTACATGGCATTCATGTGACAAAAAACGAGGGGGTTGTTCAGTCCAAGAATAACTTCATGAATGCACTACAACTAGCATAAGTCTGTTGCGCTCTCAAGTCTTTTAATTTAAACATGATATATAACATATCTTCACTATCATCATTGTCAGGAGGAAGAAAACCTTTCGAATTAGATACACATTCATCATTGACAGCAACAGCTTCAGACTCTAAATTTGACATATATCCTTCCGAACTCCCTGTTCTCTTCATGTTGCCATCAGCTTGATGCTTTATTATAGCATCTGCTCACACAAGCAAGATAGCAAAGAAGTTAATAGACAGCAGGCATTTCTCATGTGTTAATAATCAGTGAACTTATCTTTTGTTTTCCATTTATAGGATGGCAGGAGGCACCATATCAGAAGAAACAAAATAAGCAGGCTTGATTTTGATAACCAACCATTTGAAATTTTAGTCAGAAACAATTAGTCTTCTATGATTTTTCTTTTGCATGTATTTCAATTTAATAATAAAAAAAAAGTCTTTCCACAATGTTTTATTAAAGGAGAGATTTTTACTTTCCTCATATCAAAATTGTATTCTTATATGCAAACACAAGCAAATCATCTGATTATCTCCGCTGAATTTTCAACAAATCAGTTCTCTCAAGCCCAATACGGTTCTATTTGGAAGGCCACAAGTGAGTGGCAAAAGAAGCCAAATTGAACAAAAGTGCTTATTTCTAAACTGCACCAGTAACACAAGGCTGATTCAATTAGTTTACATCAATGCCCCAGAAACTCAATCATTAAGCCTTTATCACATTGCTTCAAGATTCTCATCAAAGAAAGGTCACAACTCAACAAAACTGTGTCACTACGACTTGTATTGTAATGAACACAAAAGGCTGTAATAAAGACGGTCACTCGGAGTTCTTTATTCATCATGTAGTAGCATAAACAGATAAATGTATAATACATACAGACTGATTGAGCCATTATTACCTGTCTTCTCTTCAGCAGATGCTAAACCCTTATCCCCCACTTTCTCAACCTTGCTACCAGATTTATGTTCTTCACTCTTCTCTACAATTGGAGTCCCTTTCTCCATGCCTCTGGTAGATGTAACATTGGCATCAAGACTATAATAAGACTCTACACTAGAACTATAACCTTCCTTTGGAGAGTCAATCCTATGTCCATGCCGGTATCCCGGACCAGGTCTCCTAACTTCCTTTGCACCCACTTTAACTGGATCCAGAGGCCTCTGTTGCCTCCTCCAAGCCACTTGCTGCAGTGAATACGCCACATCAGCCACGGAAAAGTATTGCTGCATAAGCAGGACCTGATTCCAATTACACCGCCTCTGCTGAATGGCCCCAATGACCATATCATACTCCCCAGGGTCACCAACCACACTTAAATGGTGACATAGGGAGTCTATGATGGCATTGGCAGCTGCGAATTCGCTTCGCAGCCAACCAATAAGCCCATCCCTCTCATCAACAAACCATTGCTGGCGGTAATGGTGCTGTTGGATCTCACCGCCAGCACCGCCACTGGCACCACCTCCACCACTTGGAAACTGCATTTTGTCTTGTATTACCACATTTCCCGATGGCATTGCCATGAGAACTCACTACCAAGAATACACTACAACCGCATATAAAGCATAACCCAACAGAACTAGATCTAGATAACGCAACAACGAGTCTAAAACAAAAACAGCGCAATTCAAGAACCCCACTAAATGAAGCGCGGAATTCAGAACAATTAAAGTAAAAACCAGCAAACTTGTTCCGAAACAAGACCACCCCAGCAATGATTCAAGCCAAAAATGAGTGAAAAAAACGGATAATATGAAATGGGTTTGGCGTTGAAATCGATAAGAGCGCTAAGGTAAGAATGAATGAATGAATTGGAGAGATCTGGGTTTGAAAAGGGTGAGTGTTGGATTGAAAGTGAGGAGGTGGTTGAGTTGGGGTGACGCAAAGGGAGGAGCTTGAAGAGAAAGATCTAGGGTTAATGAAGAATGTGGAACAAAGGGAATGGCTTATTGATCACGCATGTGTTATAGTCTTAAATGGTGGCTCATATTCACAAGTCACGACACAACAGACCCTCTCTCTCTATTCGTCGCTGTGCATCTGAGGACTGGTGGGTGCCGATTTTGGATTTTACAGAGAATATTCTGCAAGGAAATGGGGATTTTGGTCATTAGCCTTTCTATATTTAGGCATGGTGGTTTGAGAATAAATTTGTTTTAAAAAATAATTAATTACGCATTTGGTATTTGTAAAATGTTATACATATTAAATTTAAACATGATTTCTAAGTTTGATTTTATAACCCTATGATGGTCATGATTTACATGAGGATGAATATAATGATGTATACATGTCTCATGAACATGTAATTTCATGAAATTGTTATTTTATTTAATGAAATTTGGTATTTAAAATCCTAAAATTATTTTTTTATATATTTGCTTAGTTTATACAATGAGATGATGGAGTCTTCATCACCGTAGGGGTAGGGGTTGATGTGATAGGTGTGAAGAGGTCGTGTTTGGAGATTTGTTTTATAGTCGGCAACGAGAACGGAAGACAGTGTGATCGTGGATATAATATTGTACTCTTAGTGTAAGTTTTGATTAGGCTTTATGCAAAGGACACATAGTTGTAACTTTTCACAGCGTATTAATAAAGAAGTGGGCGAATAAAATGCATGTGGTCTTAGTAGGTGTAATGGCAAATGAAGCTATGTTGATGATATAACAAGAGTTTGAAATTGCAAGGAAAAAAATTGTTAAGCTGCAATGGAAGAATAAAAAGTTTTATAATTAAATATATACTTTATGAAATTGTTTTTCATCTTTATTTTAAAATTTGAATATATTTTATTTCTATATTAAAATACTAAAAATAATCTTTATTAGGTAATTAGACAAACTAACATCATATAATATTAAAATATGTAAAAATAAATTAGAAATAAAAATTTATTTTAAATAAAAATTATAATAAAAATTTGAAAAAATATTATTGAAATAAAAAAAAATTTCGAATTTATTTTGAAAGTACTTCATTTTTTTCTAGATTTTTATTGTTAACTCCTCCTATAGTTTAAGATTTTATCTTTTAATATTTTGCCTATTATAATATTCTTTTTTTCTCTTGAAACCTATATCTCTTTTTTCAAAAATCATGACTTATGTCATTCCACTTTATTTGGTATCGTACCTATTCAAATAATATTCTCATGTTTAAAAAAAATATCATATTTGGACCGACTAAAGTAATTGAAGCAAGTGACATGAGATTTCAATATTATTCTTCATAATTTATGCAGTGTATGGTTCAAATCTACAATGTATTCTTCAAATTTATAAACAACAATTAGCAATTAGGATTAACAATTCGTGTGGAGAAAAATTATTACTTCTAAAAACAAGCACATAGAAGAATAAGGGACAACTGTTTCGAAGATGTAAAAATTGACAATAAGAAGACTTATTTTGATATTGGTTTTAGTTAAATGTGTTGATTTTTGTTAAATATTTGTTGTATTGTTTGCAGACTCAATCACATCCTAACAAGTGAAGAAGAAAAATAAGATTAGGGGTAGAAAGAAAATGCGGAAAAATATTTATGTATATTTTTGCTGGTCTCTTAAACATTTACAATTATTTTGTTTTATATTAGTTTTTGGTAAACGTATTTTATCAATAATTTTATTTATATATTTAGTGTATTTCTTTAATTAATTATTAGTATTTAAAATAATTTTTATAAAAAAAATATCTATGAATTTAATTTATTATTTAAATTGAGCATTTTAACTAATTATTTGTATATTTTTATAGGAATGATAAATTAAAGAAATTATTAAAGTTTTAACATGAGAAAACCGCTCAACACCATAAAATTTACTCAAGCAAAATCAGTTCGAAGCTCATTTCCAAATTCAATCATCTACTGAGCGAATGCACCAACCGTTGAGCAAATGTGTCAAATCTCATGTAACTAACTTAACAACAATTTTGCTCAGTGCATTAAGGAAACACTAAGCGAATTCATTATAGAAACTCATTTATGTAGAAAGTTATTTGAGTTCTATTATATTATTATGGGCCTTGAGTAAGTGTTGCTCATTTCATACATAATTGTTGTTGTATAAATAAACTTTAAAAGATTGAAAAACATGTTAAGTTACAAGTTTAGTTTCATTTTTTGAATTCCTAAGTTTTAGATCTCAAATTGTCTATAACTTTTCTCTCTTTGTGATGCTTAACTTTCAAGTTTATTCATAGAACTTCTTATACAAATAATGCTATGAACATTATCAATTCAAGTTGCTTTTGATCACATTTGTTTCATTTTTCTTTACTTTTTCACTTTAATTTTCGTTTTCATCTTCTTCTTCCATTTTCACATCATTTTCTTTCATGTTTTCATATTTTTCTGGTTTTCCACTTCTCAATCATGTTCTAATTCATTTTTATTATTAATTCACCGATTAAAACTTGTTTTCTATGGTTTAAATTTGATTTTTAATGATTCTAACCGATTATAATCCATTACCATCAATGTAGTTGATGTTATTTGATTGAATGTCTCATTTACAATATAATTCAATTTCTAGGTTTAAGTAATTATTTGATTTAGAAATTGAGTTGTTTTATGAATTTCAATTATATTGTAATTGTTTGGAACTATTGTGGATTTGCTTTTGTGATTGGAAGGAAAATTCTTGAAATAAATGATAATCATAAAAACAAGTTTATGATTGGAGAATCAACATAGTTTTCCATATAACTTATTCATTATTCTAAATTGATTTCAGCTTAATTTTCATTTCAATTTTGTCTTTACTTGCACTTTTAGTTTATAATATTTCTTTAAGTTTTTTATAGCTTGGTAGATGTACATTTAATGCAATTCTTTACTGCTTTCCATTTACAACTTTTGATATACTAGTTTTCATGCTTTCATTTACTTTCCAAAGCATTTACAATTTTTTTAACTGCTTTCTTTTATTGCTTTCATAGTTTAGATTCAATGCTTTCATTTACTGTTTTTAGCATATTAGTTTACAGCTTACTAGTTCATTGCTTTACATTTACTTTTCTTGCATTAAAATCCAAAAATCCCCTCATTCCTAACATTTGATATTTGAAAATAAAGTTTAAACAAAATTAGCTAATGCTCCTCGAGGACACGACCTAGGTCAACCGTAGCACTGTATTATTTTTCTTGCAAGTTCTTTGATGACATCTAAGAGACAAGATTTCATTCATCAAATGACACCATTTTCGGGAAGCAATTGATGGTTGTTTTGTTTTAAATCTCAAATTTCTTTTGTCAAAGGTTAATGTACAAATTTGTTTTGTATTTGTGTTTCAATTGTTTATGTCGTTTGAGTCAAAAACTTGAAAAACCTTTAAAATTTTACTGTCTTTTGCTAATCCGCTCAATTATTTGTGTTTAACTGAGCGGATCTTGTGTTTTACTTCAATCGTGTGAGAACTATCAAATTAAATGTTATTTCTAATTTACCTTATCCATCCTCTATTAAGGAGGTGAGATTTTTTTTTGTCATGTAAGTTATTATAGAAGATTTATTAAAGATTTCAGCAAAATTACTCTTCTCTTAACTTCATTATTGCATAAAGATGTTTTATTTAATTTTGATGAAAAATGAAAAAATTCCTTTGATTTTTTAAAGAAAGAATTAACCACTACCCTATAATTAAACCTACTGATTGGAATATTCCTTTTACAATTATGTGTGATGCATTTAATTATACTTTGAGAGTAGTTTGAGGACAAAAATTTGATAAAGCTCTTTATGTGATTTATTATGTTTTAAAAACTTTAGATTCTACTCAAATAAATTATACTACTACTTGTAGACCCTGCCCGGTCATATGTTAAATTATTGGCAAGCGTACCAAAATTATCAATTACAGTATAGTATTTCGATTAAATAAAAGTCGATCCCACGAGGAACGGTTTCAATGGAAATTCCCAATTATATGCTTACTAAGTGGATTAAAACAAAATGAGTTTTTCATAAAGAGTTGAATTGAAATTAAATGACAAAGAACTATAATTTGTTTAGAAATGATCAATTAAAGGCACTTTGGATTAACTTCCTTCCTTATCCCTCTTTTGAAATGGCTATGTCAATTAAGAACATCAATTAACCTAACAATGTTGATGTCACCTACTCAAATCATCCATATTGATTTCTCACACATGAAATTCATAAGAAAACCTAATAAATGTTCATTTCACACACAATTAAGAGATTTTCCAGCATTAGGGTTAGGGTGTTAAGCAATTGATACATTCATTCCATTCTTGGCAATTAACGTAACAAATATTCTTACCATAATCTAGAGTTCAAGATATATTTTTCAATCATACCCCAAACATCAAGAATAAATAATTTCAAAGCACAAAAGATAAGAATAACAACATCAAAACATAGATTAATATCTCAAAATATCACCATGATACAAAAGAGTTCAAAGGAAGTGCACCAAATCCTAAGAGAATGAAGTTAGTCACTCATGATGACCATTACAATGCTCCAAATGTGGAAGAAGTGAAGAATTGATGAAGA